TTTCGTAATCACACTATATACCATGCCTTCAAGCACAATATAACCCTTCCTTCACCGAACACTATACACCAACGTCTGATTCCCAAACAGACGAAGAAGACAAACACCTCATCACGCGCACGTGCCCCTCGATAAGGTTCACGCAGAGATAAAGATAACACAGCTGTTCGCCCGTGTTACGATCGTGAGGGCCGGTGTGTGCCACTAACGGCGTTTTCTGTTGCGCCATGTGAGGGGGCTTAGAGGCAGGGGTGTCTTTTTTATTTTATTATTTTTATTTTTTTATTTTTTTTGAGGGGGTGGAGGGGTATTTTTTTCTTTTGATGTTTGTTCTTGTTTTATGTCTCTGTCTGTCTGTCTGTCTGCCTCTCTCGTTCTCTGTTTCTGTTTATCTGTCTCTCTCCCTCTCTCGCTTTCCCTCTCTCTCGCTCTCGCTCTCTCTTTCTTTCTTTCTTTCTCAGCCTGTGTGTCTGTATCTCTCTCTCTCTCTCTCTGTCCCTCTCTTTCTCTCTCTCTCTCTTTCTTTCTCTGTCTGTCTCTCTCTCTCTCTCTCTCTCTCTCTCTCTATCTATCTGCCTGTCTCTCTGTCTGTCGTCTGTCTGTCTCTCTCTCTCTATCTTTCTCTCTCTTATTCTCTCTCTCTCTATCTATCTATCTATCTGCCTGTCTCTCTGTCTGTCGTCTGTCTCTCTCTCTTTCTTTCTCTCTCTCTCTCTCTCTTTCTTTCTTTCTCTGTCTGTATCTCTCTCTATCTGCCTGTCTCTCTGTCTGTCGTCTCTCTCTCTCTCTCTCTCTCTCTCTTTGTTTCGCTCTGTGTAAATGATCAATGATCTTCCACATTCGCACTGTCACTCTTAACTCCTGATGCGTAAGTTACTGCCTTCATCGTCATTATTCCAATTATCATTTACTTCAGTCTGTTATCTATCACTCATTCTTTCTTTCTCGTCGTCATCCCGACTGTTTCTAATCACTCTTTATATCTCTCCTTCCTTATCCTTCGCCTTTCCCTCTTAGTCTATTATCTTCTTTTTTCCATCTTCCTTCGTCTTTCTTTATCCCAGTCGTTCGTCTTCCTTCGAATGGTTCACTTTTATTCTAATCCGTTCTCTAATCTTTACTTTTTTCCAATATTTTATCTTTAATATACTAAATATCTTCCCTTGTTTCTGTATTCCCTCTTCTTCCCTCTTTCGTTATTCCGAAACTGTTTTATCCTTTTCTTTTCTCTCTAATTCGTATCATCCATTTTCTCCCTCCGCTCTTCCCTTCATCTTTCACTTTCCTCTTTTCTAGCATTATTCACTCCTTCTTTCTCCTTATTTCCCGTCTCCTCCAGTCAGTAAAATAAAGAATCCCTCAAGAATCTTCCACGGCGTCTGTGGGAATTACCGATTTATCCTTTAGAAATCCTACGGGAAATAGAGAATCCTCAAGGAACCTTCTAGAAGCACAGCCAGACTCTTCCAGGAATCCACGAACACGTCATCCCTAAAATTCTAGCCTGAGAATCCCGCGAGAATCCTCCTTCAGGAAATCCGGGAATGCTCTGGGAATCTCGTCTACACCCCCCCCTCCTCCCCCCGCCAATGTCAAGGGCCTCCTTCGGCTGCCACGCTCGAGGCCTGTGGCGACACCCCCCTCCCCCCTCCCAACCCTTTCCGCGAGTTCGGGCGTGTCGTGGGATAAGAGCGCTGGAGGGTGACTGGTCCCGTTGTGGAACTGGTCGAGTGTGAGCTCACCCTTGGCGAAGGAGGAAGGATACGACTTCGAGGGATTGGCTTGACTTCGACTCGGCTGGATCCCTCCTTTTTCTTTTTTTTCCCCTTCTGGTTTGGCACAACTTTCACGGGTACTTTTGGGGGCATTATTATTTTTTCGTTTCTGGTTCTTTAAGGAGGACTTCGAGTTTTTCTCTCTGTCGGGGAGAAGCTTGTGTAAGGCTCCTGGTGTTCGTTATGAAAGGTTTTCTTCCTTGCTATACGTAACAGAGGGTCGAACTCCGAGCGAACTCCTCGAGCCACCTGCTTCGACAGCTTCCCACCCGCTTTACCTTGGCTCCGCCCACTTCTTTCTTCTAGCCAATCCTCGTGTTCTTCGTCGTCACGTGACCCGGGTTACGGGTCTCGGGCGCGCGATGATTTTCATATTGCTTCGTCTCTGCTTTCTTATTAGGATATTGTGCTTGATGATACTTCTAGACTGTGAAGTAATGTTCTATATTTTATAAGAGAATTGCTATGAAATAGATGCAACCCCTAAAACAAATAAAACTAGCCTTAACATTCGCTCTGAAGACAGAAACAGCGGTCCGACCATGAAAAAGTGAGCGAAAACTTGTGGGTCCCGTTTCTTGGCTCGCAGCAGTGCAGGCGGATCTTGGCCAGGTAAGCTGATCAAGGTGTTCAGTGTGAGTGTTGTAACGCTAGTGTGTGGTTCGGTGTCGGGAAGGAGCTGGGTGAGAATTTGGGGGCTGTAGCCTTCTTCACCATGGCTACAGGTAGGTCTTAAGAGAGCAAAGTGGAGCTAAAGAGGCAAAGGTGAAGCGCCCCGGTGGCAATCAAGTCTCGATTAATTGCAAGTCCAAGCGTGGAAATTACACCCAGAAAACAGTGCATTGTTTCGTATGTGCAAACTGAGCAGGTGTGTTGATCTCGTCTACCAGTGACTGTGTGTCGATTGTGAGACACGTATGTTCAATCTTGAAGAACAACAATAGCAAACACAGTGTTTTATTTCAAAAAACGAATAAGACCAGTGATAAAAAACGAATAACCGAATAAAATAAAAGGGAAAGAGAGGGAGGGGAGAATAAACGAGACACAAACGCAGCCAAGACCCAAAGGAGCAAACCAACCACGAGAGTCACGCAACGCGCTCTCGAAACCGAAAGTTGTGCGGTCACGAGAACGAACAAGCGACGAAGACCATCCATTGAGAGCCAGCTATTGTTTAAAAAAAAAAAATAAAAAAAACAGACGAACATTATCCCTTTTAAAAAATATATATATTTTCATACCGCTTCCACCATCAACCTAGAGGAGAAAGAAGGAGAGAGAATGAGAGGACCAAGTGACGTGAACTCAAAGGTGGAGGAGGTAGTGTGTGTGTGGAAAGTTCAGGTTGACCCACTTCGTTTGATGCTTATATGGAAGACAGAGCCAAGACGTGGGAAGACAGACGCCCTGTGTAGGCTCTTTAGTTTGGGTAATGGGCGGGTATAGCGCCATATATATATTTCTCTATGATTGACAGGCGGTTCTGTGACTTGCCTCTTCCCCCTCTTCGTCCCTGTTACTCTGTGTATGCAGTTCAGTTAGTATTACAAAAGTAATGTTGTCTCTAAATGCTTGTTTTCATGATCATTTTAAATTGGCAAGATTCACTTTTAATTTGTCAAGCTTGGTATAATATAAATATTGTTGGGGCATATTTTTTTTATCTGTAAACGTACAAAATCATCTGCGAAGAGATATCTAAAAACGTGACATTACCGAGTGCAAAGTAAAGACCATGTACCTCACTTATAATCTCGGAAGGAAGGACACACATAAGAAAAAATAAGGAAGAAACTAAAACAAGCGGAAAGAAGAAGGGAGAAAAGATGGAGAAAAAATAGCTATGTTCATCCAAGATCAAATATTCGTGCCAGTGATTCTGAGAAGTTCCGAGCTCAAGTAGAAGGCGACGAAGAGGACGAAGGCGAAGAAAAAGAAGAAAAGAACCCGACGGCACACAAGTGGTGGAAGTAGAATGAGAAATATCAAGGCCGGCGGGCCGCCCACGGCTCGCCTCAACTGCCGGGGCGCTAGTCACCAGCCTTGCCCCACGCCCACGCTCTCAGCGCCACTTGTAACCTTTTTACTTTAGATGTGATATTTTGTAGCAATTTCTCTTCTAGATTCCTATGTATTTTGGTGTTGGGATTTTAATTAGATGTCGTTATATAGTATTCTTTCACGTGTGCCACAATAGGCTTCTGTTTAAGGGATTTAGAGGGAACAAATGCTCGGGATTGTCGCCGGTCTATAAATATGCAGAGAAGGGTCCCGTTCGGCCTCCGCCGACGCCCACACAGACGGGCATTCAGTCCTACACCTTTATACAGATACTAGACGCCCATTTACTGGATATATACACGTTCTATCAATATACCACTAATGCCTAACTGTCTCCTGGACGAGGAATCGAAACATTACCTAACATTTTAAGAAATAAGAACCACAAATACAGATAAACCACGAGTCATATTATTAGGAAAAACAAAAAAATATACATATCCATATATTGGACACCAGATCTGGCCTTTCTACCTAAATGTGAAGGGTAGGGAGTAGCCTCTAGAGACCGGCTTCCTGGGGTAGGTTCGCCGCCAAACCTTCCATGGTGCTAGATAGACAGACAGACAGATAGATAGATAGATAGATAGATAGATAGATAGATATGGAGACAGAGAAAGATGGACAGCTAGACAGACAACTGAATTAAGAGATACAGATATATATATATATATATATATATATATATATATATATATATATATATTCACACATAAATATATATATGTACGGAGAGTACAAAAGAGAAGGGACCAAGAATGCATGCAAGGAGATTATACAGCCACTTACACACTTTCGGTTACGAGAGATTTATGTTAATGCTTCTACCATTACGCTGGCCGCTACCAACTACTTGCCGGAGGTGGAGGAGGAGGAGGAGGAGGACGAGAAGAGGAGATGGAGAAGAAGGAGAAGAGAAGGAGGAGGAGGAGGAGGAGGAGGAGGAGGAGGAGGAGGAGGCCAGAGAAACTGACTGAAGGGTCAGAAAGAGAGAGGAAGGAACGTGGAGATAATCCCAATTTTGTCCCTAATTAAAGATTTATCGGATACACTAGAATACGCCTTCGATAATCACAAAACAGTAAACACCAATTTTACACAAACAACCACACACTCAGGACCCCCTCCCCCCCTAAAAAAATCCTTCTAGAATATCGAAGGAACCTGGAGAAGGAGAACGGGTCGTGAGGACTTCTTAGGGCGTTCCACAAGGACCTCCCTCCCTCCCTCCCTCCCTCTCGTAACGGGGGCCTTGTCCTTATTTGTCGTCGGGATCGGTCTTTGCGGATCAATTAGGCCGATTAAATCCCCTTTTCAAACCCGTCCGAGGGAGGTGTGCGTGAGCGCTGCCGTGATTCTGGTTTCACTTTTTATTCGTGTCCGTCCGTTGGTTTCATGATGTAGGCGCTGAGGTAGTACTTACACGTAGATGAATGATACATGTAATAACACACACATACATATGTATGTATATATATGTACGTATACAAATGTTTATATATATATATATATATATATATATATATATATATATATATATATGTATGTATGTATGTATGTATGTATGTATGTATGTATAATGTATATATGTGTGTGTGTGTGTGTGCATATAAACATATGTATATACATATATTCACACATATATGTATACATATATATATAATACACACACACACAAACATACATATAATTACATATATATACATACATACATATAATTTGCATGTATTATATATGTATGTATATATTTGCATGTGTATATGTATGTGGATACGTACATATGTATATCCAGTGTATATGTATGTATATATATGTGTGTATCTGTATCTGTGTGTGTGTGTGTGTATGGGTGTGTATGGGTATGCATATGTGTGTGTATGAAAGCACATGCACATTAATGCCTGTCCGTACGACTGCATGCCCAACATCACGCACCAAAGCCCCCCCCGCCCACGACGCGCCGCCCGCACCCATCCTCCGCCGCCGCCTTAGCCTTGCCTCCTCCCACGCAGCGCACTTTCACATATTGTGGCAACTTACCGCACGTCCGCACCTCCATTCCGACGTCACTTCGAGGCTCTGGGGATCTTGCATTTCCGATGACCTTTAGGCCTTCGGGAGGAATGACGTCACGAGCCTCCGATGGGGCAGCGGCGGCGGCGCGTGGCTCGTATGGGAAACGACTTCGGTGTTCAGAAGCGAGAATTTTTTTGTGGGGATTTTGTTGTGGTGGAGGGAAGTGTGGGCGTCGGGGACACCCGCTCCTGGCTGGCACTGCCCACGCTCGCCCGGGCTGGCTCTGAGGCACCGATGAAGGGGCTCCCATTCCTTCTCTTCTCTCTGTTTTCAGCCTTTCTCATTTTTAAATCTTTTATTTTCCTTTTTCTTTTCTTTTTTGTAAATATCAGTGTTTCTTTTTCCTTCTCCGTTTCCGGAAATAAATCTTGCTTCATCACTAATTTCTGGATCCTGTGGCATTTCCTTTTCTCTGGATAATCCGAAGACTTTTTTAGAATTTTCCTAAAGAAAGGTGAAATCCCCAAAAATACCAGACATGCTAAAGGAATACATCGAGATTCTGTAGAAAATCATTTAAAACTTTATTCCTTATTGAAGTCTGGCCTATTTTTATGCACTGCCTGGTTTTCTAATTTACTTCCGTTTTCTCTTCATTATTTACCGCAAATACGTGTAATTAATCTATAATAACCCCTTTTATATCACACGACAGTCTTAATTATGTTTTATACGATGTTGATATTAATGTTACGTAATGTCTGTTATTACTAAGAATCGGCAGTTACACGAAATGAGTGTATGTTATTCTATTAATTAGTTGGCTTTTAAAGCTAATATGTGTGAGAGAAAATGAATTGGATTATCAAAATTATTGTCCTTTGCTTGATTAAAAATATACACATTTTTTCATCATGACATCATGGATATCAAAAACTAATCAAGATCTCTCTCTCTATATATATCTATCTATCCCTGTATCTCTCTCTCTCTCTCTCTCTCACTCTCTCTCTCTCTCTCTCTCTCTCTCTCTCTCTCTCTCTCTCTCTCTCTCTCTCTCTCTCTCTTAGAAAAAATCGTGGGCTGCCGATTTCACGTTTCCGATTCCCTTATCAAGAGCAATAAACGGTAGACGAATCTGTGTAATCCGTCAGGTCGTTTTTACAGATGGCATTAGATTATGATTTTATGGGATTGGATTCTATTGCGACGTCAAAAGAGAATCGAAGAGCATCGTATAGACCGTCTTTTGTTTGGAGTTTCACGTGTTTATGTTTCTTTTACGGATAAAATGGCGCGTGACGATTCATGAAGAAAAAAGGCGGGAAAGCGAGGAAAAAAGAGGGAAAACTCGACCGTAAATAAATAGGCCTCAAGGTTAGTGATGGGTATCGGATGAAAAAAAAAAAGTTGTGTTCCTTTCTACTTTTGAAAGATAAAAGTTATGTAATAGGCCAAAAAAAATTACAAACACGCAAAATATGGTTAATGACCGTGAAGAGAATAAATGTAGCCTATAGACGAAAGGAAAAAGAAAAAGATGATTTAGCAATTTCAAAGTCACGCCTAACCCAACCCAATTGCATCAACGTACTAAGAAGTTAATAAAGCCATTGCATAATTAAATTCGGCCATAGACATCTCT